TCTCTGGATATAGAATGTAAGTCAGTATATAGAACTAAATTTTTATATCCCTTGCTAAAATGTAACTGATGGTCTTCAGTTTTCTTTTCCAATTAGGACTAGCTTTGTTTAGGTTTCATCCAAACCTCTTCCTATTTTAGAGATCTATAATCACTTCTGAATACTCTGGTGATAGAGAAAAACAATATGTATGGAAAAGGATATTAAAATACATTTGCATTGTAAATAACAATACATTACCAAGTGGAAAGATAATTTGCTTTATCCTTGTCAGTGCTTAAAATACTGTATATTACTTTTCTTACGCTATAATTCATGTCGGATGACAAGAAAAATGTGAGTGAAAAATAAACTGTATTTCAGAACCTTTCCAGGGAAATTCACACAAGGAATACATCCAAATCTTTTATTACAGCTGGAGAAGATGACTGTCAGTACGTAACAGCCAGTAAAAAGATCACAATGTACATTTCCATCAAAAACAGAGAATCGGTGTCCTACACTAGATGTCAGTTTGGTCCTCCTCTGATTCTATTTTTCTACCAACAGAAAACCTAGAAATTTAACATTACTAATAATTTTTCACAAGAATTTTCTGGCATATACACTTCTTTGTAGATTTAGTAACATACTGATAATATGATCTATCTTATGAAATACTTTTCTTTTCTTTGAAGTGTAAAAGATTATCCAAAATCTGATACCCAGATTCAAAACTATATCAGAGAAATAAACAATATGCATATTTAATCTAACTTTTTTCAGCATTATTTTCACTAATAATGCTTAACCCACTATGGTGGTCACCTTTTTACACTAAATGTAATAAAGAAAAATAACATATTAAACCATACAAACAATAGAAACATACCACCACTCATCTGTATATCAATATTAATAATAAAAAAAACATTCATCAATCCCTGACTCTCACATACATTCTTAAATCTCAGAAAAAAGAAAAATGGGGAAAAAATACATTCACACAATTTGAAATTCCTAATTACAACTTAATTCTAGCGGCCTTTCATCTGTTGTCTACGTCTCTTGCCCGGTCTGATCTTGGCTGCGTGGATCTTACCCCCCTTTCCTCCCTTTCCCCCCTTCCCTGCCTTAAACTTGTTCCCCCCCTTCTGGAAGCCACCCCCATGCCTGGGCTCATCATCAAAGTCGTTCGAGTTGTTCCTCTTCTCGTTGCGTCGCATGCCTCCCTTGCCATACTTCCTGTCCTTCATCGCTCGCCGTAGGTTTGTTCTGGCAAGGATGGAGCAAGTTGTTAACAGAGAAATGTAAGTGGGAAAGAAAAACTATAAAGAGAAAAAATAACCGCAAAGCAAGCAAGAAATTCAATGTTTTACGGAAATATGTTTTGAAACTAGAAAATGGGAAGTACATGTAAGAGACCCATAACATTTCTCAGAACAAATACTTAGATATATAATTGTTAAACACATCTGGCAAACTAGAATGCAAATAATTAAACTCTTAAAAATATGTATATTCACATAACAGTAGTTTCCATATATCTAAACAATATTCTATCAATAATTATTTCAATAACTCACTTTCTTCCATCCACTCTGTTTCTCTGTTCTCGTAGTGGTTTGTTGCTCAGGAAATCAATGTTGTCTGTTTTGCCCTGCGAATAAAAAGACAGGTTGTAGTTCACCAACTCAAGCTTAAACATCAATCTTTACTGCATAACCACATCCAAACTTGGAAGTAGAGAGTCAAATTCAGCACTTCTAGATAACCCCTCACCACAAAAGAATTTCCTTATTCTGAAAGTAACATGCAAGAAACGAAAGTCACCCTTATAAGGACCAATGCCTTGAAGACTTAGTGCAAAAGCAAAATATCAATTCTCGGAATAAAGGCCCACAATGAGAAAAATAAAAATACTGATTATATAAATACTGAAATATAAAAAAAAAATACTGAAATTGCATCTTGAAAAGATGCCTCTAATGACAGACAGACAGAAACACACACACACAAAATGTAAGGCACTACAACTTTCCATATTACAAAAGGGAGTCTATAGTCTTCAGGACACTTCAAACAGGCTACAGTTTATGGTGAGCAATGAAAAAAATATACAATTGACAACAAATTTAAAGCCACACAACCAATCAATTGGACACAAAAAAGCCACTACATTTAACCCATTCCCGCCGGGTGGCATGTACGTACATGCCATGGCATGCCGAGGCCATATGCCGGGTGGCATGTACATACATGCCATAATTCGCCACTCCCATTTTCCGGTGGCATGTATGGCCATGCCATGATCTTTTTTTTTGCAAATACGGTAAAATATTTTTTTTATGATACTGAAACATTGATGGATTAGTTTTTTTATAAATATGATCATTTTCTTACATAAGACGTACTCTGGCTTCAGAGGCAAGCGTCTGAAAAATTACGTTGACAATCGGCCCGCGACTCGCGAAACAGGTCGGTCGCGGCGTGATTCGGCGCCCGCGAGCGCGTGTATGCATTACTATTCGCGTGCGTATATATGTGTGCGTGGGCGTGCGCGCGCGCATCTGTATATGATTCAGCGTGTGTGTATGCAGCAATAGTATTTGTGTGCGCATATATGTATGCGTGTGCGCGCTCGCGCGTGTTTGTGTGTGACCCAGCGTGTGTGTATGCAGCAATAGTATTCGCGTGCGTATGCGCTCTCTCGCGCGCTCACGTGTGTGTGTGTGATTCAGCGTGCGTGTATGCAGCAATAGTATTCGCGTGCGTATATATGTGTGCATGTGCGCGCTCGCACGTGTGTTTGTGCGTGTGCGTGCTCGCGCGCGTGTGTGTAATTCAGCGTGTGTATGCAGCAATAGTATTCGCGTGCGTATGTGTGCGTGTGCGCGCTCACGCGTGTGTGTTTATGTGTGTGCGTGCTCACGCGCGTGTGTGTATGCAGCAATAGTATTCGCGTGCGTATATATGTGTGTGCTCGCGCGCTCGCGTGTGTGTGATTCAGCATGTGTATGAAGCAGTACTATTCGCTTGCGTATATGCGTGCGCGTGTGTGTGCGAGCGTTCGCTCGCGTGTGTGTTTGTGTGTGTGTGTGTGTGTGTGTGTGTGTGTTGTGTGTGTGTGTGTGTGTGTGTGTGTGTGTGTGTGTGTGTGTGTGTGTGTGTGTGTAAAAAAAAAAAAAAAAAAAAAAAAAAAAAAAAAAAAAAAAAAAAAAAAAAAACAGCAATGAGACTAATATCAAAGCAATGGATAGCAAAAAATGAAGAAAAAGAGAAAAGAAAAGAGAAAATCACCGCAAACGAGGCTAATGGTAGTTGAACGAGGGAACGGGGCGCGAGGTAGTTTGCTTGCCGGTGGATTGTTATCGAACCCGGTGGATTGTTCGAGAACCAGGGAAATGGCGCAATCTGATTGGTTGACGAAGGTAATATATAGAGGTGTGGTAGGCAGGCCTATTCAGTCTACGTCTGCCTTGAATACCCTGAAGATGCCTCGGAACACGCGCACTTCGTCCGCTGCCGCTGCTGCCTCTCCGATGACCCTCAGCCTTCCACCTCGGCTGGCCCCTTGAGCTTTTACGACGACTCGTCGGATGATGAATCCGGCGAGAGGTTCGTGCCAAGGGGTCGGGTCCTCATCGAGGACAGCAGCGACAGCGACCTCGGTAGCGACAGCGGCGATGATTCCGATCTAGATTACGTGTCTCACGACACGAGTCTAGATGAGGATGAGCCGCTGTCTGCTTACGCTCGGCGGTTGCGGGAGCGGAATTCTCCAGGACAGCCTGGGTTCCGGTGGAGGAAGAAGGAGAATGTACCCACAAGGTATGGTTTCAGGGCCCAGCCTGGGGTCAACACCCCGGGGTGGACTCTGACTCCAGCCCGCTGGAACTTTTCTCCTTGTTCTTCACCGAAGAACTCATGGATATGATGTCCGCGAGACAAACCGGTAAGTTCACGTAATTTTTGTTTCATTTACATATTTTTGTCAAATTGAATATATAATATATATATTATGTGAATATATAATGATTACATTGTGTACAATGACTAATTTTTGCATTTCTATCTTTCCAGGTACCACCGTCAAAAGCCAGGGCCCAGTTCTTCTCATATGAAGGACTGGGTAGACACCTCTGTCTCGGAGCTTGGTGTCTTCATCGGCCTCAGGATGGCCATGGGGATAAACCAAAAGCCCGAGCAGAGGAGTTACTGGTCGACCGACCTGTTCTACCACAGTCCCCTGTTCCCAGTGACTATGACGCGGGATCGTTTCGATCAGTTGAGCCGCTACCTCCACGTGGTGGACAACGAGGGGAGTCATCCCCCCGATGACCGCCTGTGGAAGTTGCGGCCAGCTATCGAAATTCTCCAGCGTCAGTTCTCGTCGGTCTTTACTCCTCCCAGGAGGATTACAGTCGACGAGAGTCTCTGGAAATTTCGGGGGCGCTTTGTAGCCGTGACCTATAACCCCAGCAAGCGCTCGCGCTTTGGGGTGAAGGTCTACAAGCTCGCGGCCAGTGAAGGCCCGAGCAACGGTTACATATGCGCCTTCGAAATTTACACGGGCAGGGACAGAAGCGACATACCCGCATCCCAGAGGGCTGTCATTCACTTGATGGGCGCAGCGGGCTTATTTGATAAAGGGTATGATCTGTATACCGATAACTGGTATACGTCGCCTACCCTTTTTCATTACCTGCAGAGCAGGCGCACGAACGCGATTGGCACAGTACGTACCAATCGCAAGTTCATGCCCACTGATCTGCAGGTAAAAGCCCGCGGACAGGTGGACAGTCGCAGCACGCCTACAGGCATGTTGTGCCTGCAATGGCGCGACAGGCGTGTAGTGACGTTGCTGTCGACTGTCCACAAAAGCGAGATGGTCGCCACCCGGTCCCGCAGTGGGTTTGAAAGGATCAAACCCAAGGTAGTCGTAGACTACAACTGTGGGATGAAGGGGGTCGATAACAGTGATCAGCTGGCTGTATCGTACCGAGCACTCGCAAGTCCCTCAAGTGGTACAAGAAGGTTTTGTTCAACCTTGTTGATATGACAGTCGTCAACGCCTTCTCCTTGCACAAGGTGCTCGGAGGGCGATTGACTCAGCTGATCTTCAGGAAAAGGCTGTCTGAAGATCTCATGCAGCTGGGGAGTCGCGATGGTAGAGAGGTCAGGTCGCGGTCACGGTCCCGGTCCCGCTCCCGCTCTCCGCGCCTGCTCCGGCTCTTCAGGGTATCCATTGCCAGATTTCGACGCCTCACGACCGATACCGTCGGTGCAAACTGTGCTACTCTCGTGGCGTGAGGAGGATGACCAAGATGATGTGTTCAGGGTGTGATGTTTCTCTCTGTCGGACTTCCTGCTTTGAGGAATATCACACTCTGAACGCATCTACGTCTAGGTGATCCTCCTCACGCCACGACCTTGTACATATTGTATATATTTTACTTTCGTAAATAAAATACGAAATGTGAAAAAAAACTTTCTATATCCTCATATACCACACTATTTCTTTACACACCAATATGAAAAGAATACTGAAGAAAATAATCTTGATATAACATAAAATATTGAAACACTTTGAAAAGAATGAAGAAAAGAAAGAAGGAAAAAGAAAAAAAGAAAAAAAGCTTCTTTACAGGACGTGATCTAATGATATTGAACAAATACGACTCCCAAAAATAACTTACAACAGGAATAAAAAATAAAAAAAATATGCGTATTACGTATATGATGTGATAACGTACTTATAAAACTACACTGAGAAGAGAAATTGAAAGCTATATCTTGCTCATGAAGTAATAATATAGACCTCGTGTGAAAACTTGGATAGTTTATATGATAACCTAAAAAAATGAATAAGGAAATTCAACAAAAAAAAAACTATGGTTATAAATACGATCATACATCAAACTGCTTACTTTATTCAGAGTAAAGGCGAATAATTATCAACTGTGGAGTCTATACTACGAAAAAACTGTCATACATACTTGACTTTTAGGAAAACATAGCAAATATATACTTTAGGAAATAATAACAAAAAAAAAAAAAAAAAAAAAAAAAATCTTAGTGATACAAAGAAAAGGCAAGGAATGCTGGTATTGCGCGTGAGCGGTCGCGCGCCATAGGGATATGGCACGGGTCCCCGGCAGCAACGCCCAGGCCGCTGCGAATACTACCCGGGGAAAGGGTCGCGCGCATCGGAAAATGACCCGTCGGGATTGGGTTAAAGCCTCACAACCACTCAAAGACTGGATACAAAAAAAAAAAAAAACACTACATTTAGAGTCCAACTAGAGTCTCTTCAGTTGAGAATAATGACAGGAAAATTGAAACACCCAGAATACATTGCTAACAAGTTGAGTTGGACTCGTATTGCTGTGGATTTTGCTTATAGTATAATTCCAGCTGTATATCTGTATATACTATTTAGTCTATACCTTAACAATACAAAATAGCAAGGGAGGTTTAAACAAGAGGAAAATAAATCTTATTCTACCACGTTTCCAATAAACATCAATGACAGCGCAAATACTACACTTTAAAGTTTAAACACTACACTACTACACACTCGTCTCCTCACAATCAATTCTACCATTCAAAATTAGGCAGTAAAAAAACATATGCACCTGAATCAAGAACCGAATGCCAGGAGGGTAAAAAGTGGAACAAAAAGTCAATATTAGCAAGACGCTCACCTTCCTAAACTGTTTAACTTTCTCTAGCATCTCTCTCTTTTCCTTGTGCTTCTGCTGCTCTCGCTCTATCTGGACCCTCTTGCCGAATTTCTTGATTTCTCTGATCTTCTTAACCTTCTCGCTCATTTCCTGTCCTGCCTTCTTGTTCATCAGCCTTTTTCGGACCTGGGGGTGATTCGCAAGACTTAGAAACTTGTGGATGCAAGATGTAAATTTCGGAATGTTTCTCGCTGAATATTCATTAATTTCAAGGCATTTTATAATGAATTACTTCAGCTTAATGCCAGGCAATTAAATTTCATGATCACTTAGATTTGCTTTCTCAGTTTCTAAGAATATGAAAATTACTTAAAAAAAAAATTAAAATAAAATAAAAATAAGAATAATAAGAAAGAAAGAAAACAACCCCTAAAACAATACTACCTTCTGCATGTGAACATCACTTTTGGCCATTTCCGCGAAATAGTCGTCAGGCCTAAGCGTTGGCCTCTCCAGCTTTTCAAGTCGTTCATACCCATCCAGAACCGCCTGCTGAGCCTGTCTGTAGAAAATCATTTCCCGTTTGAAGTCATTGTGGATTGGGTCTTCATCCAGGTTGAAGTTCTTCACGGTACCTTTCATTCTGGTCTCGCGCACCCTGGCGTGTTCAGCTATCTGTTGAGGTCAAACACAAGTGAGGAATCTGCTTAATCGAGTAATTGACGGGATATCGCTGGTGTTGGGGGGGGGGGGGTGTTTATCAGTTGCTAATTAAAGGGACAGACTCCAATTTTCATACATTTCTCTTGTAACAGCTGATTCTGTAGTTTACAGATTAGGTTGTAATTTCTGAAATATAAACAAAGTACTGCTTATTTTCTTTTACAAAGTGGTTTATGCTGGCACATTTTAACATTTCATGTGGACTTGGTTTCGCTTTTATGATTTTCCAAAATTTTAGTAGCCCCCGTCTCAAAAAGAAAAAGAAAAATATAAGAAAAAAAAAATAATAATATAAATAAATAATAATAATAATAAACAAACAAATGAACAAAAATCTGGCCTTAATATGGAAAAGTTAGAATCAAACTTTCAAATATGGCATGGACAAGCAATTAAGTCACTTGTTCCGAAAGAAATAAGCTTTGATATCTCAAAGTAAATGCATTTTTAAAAATATTTTGATAAGACTAGGAAACCTCCACTTCATATCAATGCAGACTTAGGAATCATATCAGTTTTATTTTTCTCACAATCTCCTAAAAAATACATATTTACTATCTTTTCTTCACTCTTTCTACCCTTTTTCTGTATGCATATACATATACGTATATTGCATATATATATATATATATATATATATATATATATATATATATATAATATATATATATATATATATATATATATATATATATATATATATATTATATACTTATATATATCTTATATATTCATATCTCTCTCTATATAACTATATATGTACAATTATAAATATATATATATATATATATATATATATATATATATTATATATATATATATATATATATATATATATATATATATACATATACACACACATTTTTTCTTCTTATACTTGAAAATTCCATATTTTGATGTGTAACTTCAATGGGCTATAAATATCACTAAAATTGGGGAGGGCTATCAATACTAAAAATTACAAAAATAAGAAAACTGCTCCAGGAAACTATAAATTCAGCTCTTCCCGTGCCCATTAGTGCATTTGAACTTATTACTATATCGATATATGGCTTCACAATCTATAAATTTATATTCCCCCTGAATCAAAATCTATTTGAATGAATCATGAATCATGCCCATTAGTGCATTTGAACTTATTACTAAATTGATATACGGTTTCACAATCTATAAATTTATATTCCCCCTGAATCAACATCTATTTGAAGGAATCATGAAAATCCGCTATCATGGGCGTTAAATCTCTTGCGGTCAAATGACATTCCACAGGCTGAGGCCAAATTTTTCTCTGAGGTGCATGTATTTCCCCCTAATCCCATTTTTGGACATTATCTGTGAGACAATTCCATTAACATCCTCATTCTCTGTTAATAGATTATCATTTTTCTTTTCCTCGTGAATTATTAATGTAATTATTCAACTCATTCTTAACTCTTCCCTTATTTTCTTTATATAACGATACCCTTATATGCTACAAAAACTTTAGCTTTCATGATATATATTAATTATCTGGTACCAACTTTTGCATTTTCTAATGAAAAATATAAAAATATATGATTTAATGATAACTGCTTTCACAATACCAAAGATTATGAAATAATTCTAAGTTTGGTTTGCAAGCCAGTACAAACTTATGCGGTGCAGATAAAAACAAGGCAAACTTTAAAAATATATAATATAATGAGACATATTGTATATTTCGATTACTTCTAACTCAATACTCAAGGATGTTAAAAAGCACATGTGAATGCATACACGAAATCAAATATTTCTCAAAAAAAAAAAAAAAAAATATTAATAATAATAATAAAAAAAAAAAATAATAATAATGATAATAATAATAATAATAATAATAATAATATAATAATAAAAAAATAATAATAAAAAAATATAAATAATAAATAAATAAATAAACAAAAAAAAATAAATCAAAATAAATGAAAAATAAAAATCTGTGACTATGACTCAACAAGGCTACTACCTTAAAACTCATTACAGAAAATAGATTTACATAGATGCCCTCAATTAGTACCTATATATATATATATATATATATAGATAATATAATATACAAATTATCAAAAAGAAGTCGGAAACCTATTTTTTTTGTTCTTGCAGTCGACTTACCTCAACGTCTAGGCCAAGGGGCACCGTTCAATCCACGTCTCTGTTTGAACTCCTTTAGTTTTTGTTCAAGACCAGCCTATAATGTAAGCAAGAATAAAAATATATCTTTAGAATAAAAAAATCAAGAAAATTTTAGCTCTGTACGACTTAGCATTGTACTTTTACGTCTGAGTTATATGATCAACAATGCAAAGCTCAATCACTTTATCATGACCATATGCACCTAATTTGTATGCAACATAGTCTTAGTGAAGGATTTTTGGGCTGTTGTCCAAAAATCACTTCATTTCATTCTTAAAAACTACTAATATTCTCATAAATTTTTAAACAAATCCTGTCTTTCTACTTCAACAGACCTAAAATGTATCCAATAAAACCTCCAGCTGTCAACTCTAAAATTACACGTACAATTACATACATAACAAATAGAACATTACAAAAACGAGTAACTTTACCACATCATTCTTCATTTCCTTATTCCGCGCATCAATGTCTGCTGCAAAGTTCAATCCAGGCTTTATGTCCCCTCTTTCAAAGGCTCTTTGCAGCTGTAAATAAGACAGAACATCAATCAATACATAATTCCTGATAAATAACATTTCCAATCAAACTTCCTGAATATCTTGATTACCAAAATTTGTAAGCAAAAATTCAGCGAAAGATTATTTGTTAACTAGAAAATCACTTATTTCTTTAAATGAAAAGAGATACATACATTGTCTCTGAGAGTAATATCAAAAACAAAAACACTTTCTACAACTGTCTAATGAGAATCACAGTACATTTCTTTTTGGTTTATTTTCACATCTGTCTTGCTTATAAATTTACAAAAAGGCTACAACTAATAAAAGTTAATAATAATATAAAAAAAAAAGCAGACCAGCATTCCCTTCTCACCTCGCCATCTGATTCATCGTCATCGGAGATCAATTCCTCATAGTCTGAGTACTCCTCCTCCTCCGAGAAGTCAGATTCGTGTCTCCATCACCATGCTTTAGGGTTGTAACTCTGGAAAATGGTTGATTTTCATTATCAATATTGATAAAGAAGACAAAGAATTCTGGAATATGAACTGATTATAAGGTTTACAAGAAATAGAGTAATTTTTTAGTTTCACACAGTCATCTAATCTTGCAATTATTATTACTTTTTTCAATTATCAATACTATAATATGTGTGAACCTCTTGTTATTTTCCATGGCAAATGATATAAATGAAAGTATTGCCATTCTGAGAATGTCACTATTACTCCACCCAATCTTAGGAAATCCACAAATATCACAATAAGAACCAAAAAACCTTCCTAACCTGAGGCCTCTACCACCAGACCGCCATCCAATCATCCTATTTCCCTATTGAGGCTCTACCCTTGGACCCCACCCAATCACCATGGACGTACTCTTTACATGGCATTTGTCACGGTCTATTTTCTTTATTTCTGAGGTTATTTTTTGTTCATATAGATTATTATATGTATTAGTGAGTGTAGTTTTTCTCTTTGATTATCAGTCCCATTACTTTCTGTGTATAACAAAATATTACGTGTTGCTCAATTTTCTTATTATCAACTTGCAAAGGTAATACTACAGATGAAAGTGTCATATTTTTAGTTATTCTGTAAACTACAGGCAAAAACCTTGTACTACACAAATGTGGGGAAAAATTATACTGAAATATGAGCACAAGTAACAAAGAGATTAAAAAAAATAAAATGAATGTTGAGAACTGGGGATCGGTTCATGGGGTTGATGTTACCTCTCCCCCCCCCTCCCCTCCCCCTTCCAACAACAAAAACAACAACAACAACAAACCAGGGCTGGCCACTTTTCCGTAGCAGCCTTTTTGCCATTTAAATCATTAGATGACCAAGAAATGTATATAAATAATACAATTGAACCAAATACTATCATAAATGGATGAATATTAGCTTGTAGTTACAGTGCATAGGGTCTGAGCCTGATGATTATAGGATTCCTTGCAGTACCTTCCTGTTCATTGCACTGCATAAAACAAGATACACTAAATACTTTAGTATGCCAATAATGTACAAATATTCAACATCATAAAATAAACCCGCATCTTATTATAAAAAATGAATTTGATATATAACTTGAGAAAATGTGACATTGAATCAGTAAGCTTCATTTATCTAAAAAGTATTCATAGTGAGTGTGCTGCAGGGCTGACATTTCCATGGTACAATAAAGTTCCAAAGGTTGTGTGCATGCATCTTCACATACAGACAAAAACCTTCTAAAAATGACTGAAAGCTCTTACTCATCCTAAAATCCTGAAGAGAATATAAGTAGTTTGTTTACACAACTATTCAAATTCTGTCCGTTGCAAATGTAGTTTCGGGTTTCCGCAAGTTCTTTTTTTAATTCACTTAGCATAAATTTCCTTTGACCTTTCCACGCACTTCTTTCATCATCCGTCCGCAGATCCGTCCACGCAAATGTAGACAAAATGTTATGTAATATTCCCCGCGCAAGAAAAAACCTACAATCTGGGTTGTGTATAGCATCCAACAAAAGAGAGCGACTGACAGCCACTGCCACTTTCAGGTATGTCAGCCACAATACCAAATTGCTCTGACAGAGTGCTTTAGAATTCATCGACCTAAAGACTCTCAAGAACCGTTTCCCTTGAAAGAAAAAGAAGTCAAATTCCTCTTTCACGAGCAAGACGGGGGAAGCGGAACCAATATCGGCATTTAAGTCCTAAATATCAACAACAAAGACTATTTTCTTATAATTACACAAATAAGGGCATTAATTCTGGATAAAATGCCTCAAAAACGACACAATCCACAACAAAAATAAGAGAGAATGGTTAAATCAACAAACTCGTGTTGCTTTGGAGACCTCCAGCATGTAAACATCTCATAAAACCTTCTTTTCTCTCTAATAAACACTTAAAATCTTCCTCTAAAGCCTCTCAAACACTAGCTACGACATTCACGATTCTTATCACGCAGAAAGACATCAAATACTCACAATTAATAAAATAAATAATAGTTTGCTTCTCCCGAAACGATGTAAACACTGCTGTAAATTTCTCGAACATGTGGGTCTCTGAGGTCGAACGTTCGCGTAAGACTGAACTTGCGAGGCGGTCTTTCTTTTAGGTTTTAAGATAAATATAATTTTTGGAGGTGTGTTTTATGGTTTGTGTGTGCATTTCGTTCCTTTAATTGACATATTTTAAAATTGCGAAAGGCCTGAGTTATATTTGGATATAATTTTGCCTGAGAGAACTCACTGAGTTTTCTAAAGCTTCCGTTCGTCTTAAATTTACACTTTCTTTTAGGCTTTGGTAGATATTTAACGCATTCCTCATGGTTTCATCATATATAATAAATAATGCTAATGTGTCACTGAAATTAACAATATTCTAATTCAACGTTAAACTCACATGCAATATATATATTTTTTAAGTTTGCGTTCGCATACTCGAATCAACTGCCCAACGTTCATGATTTCTATTGCGTCATAGAAATTTCCCCCAAAAATATATCTTTTGACTTTTCTCTGTATATCTATAAGCAACGGAGGTCACCTTGGACACCATATAGACTTAAATATTTCTAGTGACATCTACAAAGAGTGGCGAAAAGAAATCAAACCGGACAGACTTCAAATTAGATATGAAATTGAACGTGATACTTCGGGAGAAGGAAAGGAAAAAGGGATAATCTTTAAAAAAAATGGAAAATGGTTGGGCGTTACAAAATTCAAAAGATATTCGACACATAAGAATTTCAGCCAAATAGAAACAGTTCAACCAAAAGTACATCTGAACTCATCATTATACATGGAAATATCGACTTATATATACGGTATATATATACTGTATATATATATATATATATATATATATATATATATATATATATATATACTATATATATATATATATATATATATATATATATATATATGTATATATATATATATATATATATATATATATATATATATATATATATATATATATATATATGTGTGTGTGTGTGTGTGTGTGTGTGTGTGTGTGTGTGTGTGTGTGTGTGTGAGAGAGAGAGAGAGAGAGAGAGAGAGAGAGAGAGAGAGAGAGAGAGAGAGAGAGAGAGAGAGAGAGAGAGAGAGAGAGAGAGAGAGAGAGAGAGAGAGAGAGAGAGAGAGAGAGAGAGAGAGAGAGAGAAGAGAGAGGGGGGGGGGGGATCTTTCATCTTTTAGTCAACACACACGAATCTATTCAGCTGTTCTGGCAACGTTTCAGTTTACATGCGGTGAATTGATGTGTATGTGAGAAATAGATAAAAGCAGTTGAAAAAAAAAAGAATATGAGAGAGATAGATAGATAGATAGGTAGATAGATAGATAGATAGATAGATAGATAGATAGATAGAAAGAGAAAGAGAGAGAGAGAGAGAGAGAGAGAGAGAGAGAGAGAGAGAGAGAGAGAGAGAGAGAGAGAGAGAGAGAGAGAGAGAGAGAGAGAGAGAGAGAGAGAGAGAGAGAGAGAGAGAGAGAGAGAGAGAGAGAGAGAGAGAGAGAGAGGAGAGAGAGTTTTTCTTTCATCTTTTCCTTTCATCTTTTATCCACAGTAAACAAATACTTGAACCAAATACTAAACAAAGAATAGAAACAGACTCCTTCAACACCCCTCAAAAATAATGAATAGCCATAATAAAACAAAAATACTTTTAAAAAAGATTAATAAGAATTAACTTTCCCACTTTCCAGACCTGGCCGTGTCCCCCCCCCCACCCACCCCGATACACACACACCCTCACCATCCTCGCAAAGAGTCACACACACACACAAAAGGGATAAAATATAACAAAAACATTAAAAAAAAAAAAAAACATTACCCCGCCCCTCTCACCCCCCGGCCAGGCTGCGCATCCCGCTCGTCGCTTGTCATTGTTTACATTGTGTCCCTCGCAGCCCAAGGGAAATTCTCGGCCCAGGAACCGTTTGAAAATCGCTCTTCAATAATGGATAAAAAGGAAGAGGGGGAGATTTCTGATGACAATGAGGACAGTTTTGATGTGAGTTGAGAAGGAGGAGAGAGAGAGAGAGAGGAAGGGAGGAAGAGGGAGAGAAGGAGAGAGAGAGGGGGAAGAAAGGGAGGGAGAAGGAGAGAGAGGGAAAGAGGGAGAAAAGGAGGATGGAGAGAAGGGGAAGAAGAGAGGAGAGGGGAGAAAGGAGAGAGAGAGAGAGAAGGAGAAGGAGGAGAAAGAGAGGAGGACGAAGGAAAGGATTTTGCTTTGAATTTTAAAATTTGTTGACATTAATTTTATGATCCAAAGGTCTTGTATCTCTTATTATCACCTTGCATTTTGATATTGTTTCTGTCATTTTAAAATTCGTTTTCTTTTTTATTTTATTCTTGATGCTAATAGATTTATTCAAAGATTTGCGTATTATTGTATGCATAACTTTTTTGTGGAATGAAGATCTCTCTGGGGCATCTCGGGCACAAGCCCATATCCATTATGATATTTTGGTTATATATTTAGTTGTTAAATTTACAGCGTTTAATGTGGAATGATACCGATACTTAATAGTAATGCAAAATACGCAACAAGGAGTTTATGTAATCTAGTCAACAACGAGGACTTTACAGTTGGCATGCAAGATCCCACGTGTGGTCTTCTTACCCATGTGCACATTCTTGATTTCATGTGCACATTTTCTAGAAAAAATTGAACTCTCCAGGTGCATGCATGTGCACATTTTAAGGTCCATGCCCACAATAAATTTCTGAAATTCAATTAATTGCATTTGTTTGAAATGAATTGCTGTGGGGAGTTTTCCTTATCATGACGCAGGGAAAAATTTCCTTAGTTGTGTTTTGCTTTTCTGTTGTGCATGTTAGTTGTCATATAGATCCTTAATTTGTTTTGTCTTAGGTATGTCTATGCTATCTGTTATGCTATTAATTCCTCAGTGCATCTTGCGTTTATCTCTCCCAGACTGTAGAGTTTGGTATGCGCAAAAATTATTTGGTCAAATTCTGTCCGCACAAATGTAGTTCTCGGATAACTTTCCGCACATACTTAGTTTAAAAAAAAATTATCTGCGCATTAAATTCTTTTGTCTTTTCCGCTCACTTGTTTCATCATCTGTCTGCAGATCCGTCTGTGCAAATGTAGACAGAATGATGTTTTCCACGTATGTAAAAATGTAATATTCCCCGCACAAGAAAAATACCCTACAGTCTAGTATCTCTCCAGGCTACAAATTCGTACTGTAAGGCTATATCACACACTTTTCACGTGAATGTGTAAGATCCAATATCAAGTTGTTCAAGATGTCCAGTGTAGGTATTACATTGACACGATAGCTTTTTAAGAATAAAATTTAAAATTGATAGTTGTCATCTATCATCCACATAAATATGCCAAGACAGCCAAATTAGTAGTTTTGGCCCTTGAACTAAATACTACCGAGTTGAAAGTATTGTGATTTTAGTGTTTATTTGCACTGCATTATTCAACATATCACATGCATTTATTCATATATAATTTACAGTGCAAATTAGTACCATGCCAATTCCTATGTATCTGTAGTGCTCAAGTGCAGACTTTAGTCAAGTTAAATCTCATGTGCACAGCAGAAGTTAGCAAACTGATATGTAATCATGAATAGTATGTGAAGAACAAATTGATATATTTCACGAGGCATTAAATGTGGCCTTATTAAGAACTAGTCATATCATTTTCAGTAATCTTTTAATTGATAAAGAAATGAGAATCAGAATAATTTTCTTGATACTTATTCTGATGACTTGAACATTTATCAATATGATTTTTCATTGGCTATTGCAAGAAAGTGCATTATATGGTGGCACGGTAAGGACGCTGAGAGTAAGAAGGACCTTGATAGTTATCCTGCAAATGAGACGAGATCATATGAGACATGATTTTGTTTGTGTCTTTGGTGTGTTGCTGGAAGGAAGAAGAAAATCAAGGAATACTTGTGCTTTCTTATACACATGCACACATACGTGAACACTCACACATACACTCAAGTACATGTACCCCCTCCCCCACACACACATATGATCAGTCATATATATATTGCGTGAATTTTCGTTTACACATTTTTATGATACTGGTGTGCTTCATAGGCTACTTGGAAAATTATAATAGTCAGTTACTAAGACCTTTCTCTGTTATGAGTGAATGAATACAATTATGTTAAGCATTGATAAGATCAATTCATTGACCTTTTTCTCCTCATTATCAACAGCTGGTATACAAACCTGTGTCTCGTCCCGATGCCTCCCAGTACCGCCATGCCCCTCGTCACATGCCCTCAAGTGATGAAGAATATTCATCAGACTCAGACTCAGATGCGCCAAGCATCCCCAAACGGAAACGCCCAAACGTCAGCAAGATGGAGACCAGCACAGTTGAAAGGTCGGTTTCTATTTTGGCCGATTTTTAGAAAAGGATCACTTTATGTCAATGACCCTCTGCTTCACATTTCATCAAATACTAGCAAAGTAGCTGGACTGGCTCTCAGTGGCTAGATAAATCAATAAGGAGGTGTATGAACTCTGTTTTGTCAGAATGTACATAATCGAAGTTTGTTGATTATTATCATTGTTGGAGTTTGAAGAACAGAACTCAACATATTGCTGAATATCTTGATATGGGGACTTTCATAAAGAATTTTGGGCTTATGTTAGCTTTGCGTGTTCTTTTTTCATATCGGAGAGTGTTGCTTTAAGCATTATTTATGATCATTACATAACTTTTTCTCTGTCTGCTTGCTCCCATTCAGAATAATTGCTTTTTTTCTTTTTGTTGTTTTTCTTTTTTGTCTTTGTCTTCGTCTTCATTACCATCTCCATCTTTCATCTTTATCTTCATCTTCATCATCATCGTCTTCTTTTTTTGTTCTTTCTTCTTTAATCATGAGTAGTTAGTATTATATGTGGAAAGGGGCTGATATATGATTATCAGATGTTTTCTATGAGTCACATATGTGTCACAGGTTTTTCACTACAAATTATTATCATCTTTTTGTCAATAAAAGGATTAGAAATTAGGAAAACTCTAAAAGATGCATAGGACCTTGTACCTTATTGCTTCTTTTGCTGCTTTGTTTTCACTCGCTTTTTTTCACTCTTGTTCACTCGCTTTTTTTCACTCTAATAATGCTTAAGTTATGTACATAACTTATGCATTATTATGTCAGTTGACAGTTTACAACAGAAGGATGCATGTTTTGAATTACAAGTATTTACCCAGTGTAAGGTTAATATCTAATTAAGAATCGCTTTTGCAGTCACGACCCCAAAGGCTGGACAGTAGGAAGTGGAGAATTAGAAGCCAGACACATTGCCAAACCCAAACGTAGAAATAACATTTGGTCGACAGTCATGGAGGAACAGGTGAGTTTGAATAAAGATAAACATTAATGGTGAATTAATAAGAATGATAATTGTATTGTGATAAATATATGAATTTATTTTTTGGTTTCTGTAGATGTTCTCTTTGTGATAAATTTAACATGCGTGAAAATAATGGTCATGTTGTATATTGCATCTATAATCCATATGTTGTATATTTTATGTGCATAATGTACTGAGTAAGTTACAAGACTAGGTCCACATCTTAAAATCTGTCAAATTTGGTGTCGATGGATCTTGTTGATGTCTACTGACCAGAGATGGCAGAACTAGTTGGCAGAATTAGTAAATGAGAATAACATGAACATCCAAAAACTCCGATCATTTGCACAGCAACTGGGGACTGAGAGTACGTGGCAAGGGTTGCATACCTCCTGGAGTCATCTCCTAAGATGGGTCAGGATATCACTCTTGAGATGTGTCGCTTGGACTGGTTAATATTTATAGTATGGACATACCAAGTAAGGGCAAATTGAATATGAACTTCTTGTAGAGGACAAAAAGTTGCAGTGGTCAGTACAAGAAATAATCTTCAGACATGAATGGTAATGCCACAAATAAAGAAAGAAGATTGCAGAAAGCGCTGCTCTCAGCATTTGTGCACTTGGTTCTCCTGAGTTTTAGCTCTATCTTGCTGAGCATACTGAGGTGAAGACAATGTGTCCCTGAGGGTGTTGGGGTAGTGCCTGAAGTGCACGCCCAGTCACAGCAACTTAGACTAATGAATATATGTTTTGACGGGGAGCTGGGGACTTAGTCTCTGGTGAGTGCGTCCATACTGTAAGGAATTACCTTGTACCTTTACAAGCCCTCTAGTTGCCACATTATTTAATCTGCTATTTCCTGATGATACCTCATACCCTCCTACTACCTATTGGGTTTTGTACCATTGTAATTGTAGCTAAGTGCCGACCAAAATCAGTATGACTCCATTCTAGACATCATGAAGAAGTCATTGATGTCAAATTTGATGGATTTGAGGACATGCTGATTCCAGAAAACAAGCTATCAGTAAATGTATATGTTGAACTTAATTTTTATTCTCTTTTTTTCTCCAATTACCCCAATTAAGGTTTTGTCACAAGAAATTGGTGGTTTTGGCCTGAAGCGCAGACTAGACCAGGGCGATCGGAGTGTTGAGTCCTACGATTACTCCCAGGCTCTGAGAGTGCACGGGAGTGAGCCAGAAAATTCAGAAGAAGAAGAAACGGAAGAGTTGAAGAAAAAGAGGTTGGTTGGATGAGTCTTTTTTTTTTTTTTCTATTTTCATTATGTTTAAATTTCTTTATTTTTTTCATTATTATTATTTACATTGTGATACAGGGATTAGTTCATATATATCTACCTTTTTTTTTCTATTTCTTATATGGTAATATGGTTAACCATATGCATATGTGCCATGATTGTTGTGATTTTCTGGCATCATGAAGGCACATTTTGGTTTGCAGCACTGGAAGACCCCAAATTTAGAAAATGTGTATTTAATTTTCATGTCTCAAATATGTTGAGTGTCAGTAGAGCGCAAAGTTGAAAGTTATCAAAGTTACCCCTTGAGTATGAATGAAAGTGACATTAGATTGATTTGAATATTTAAATGATAAACACATGGAATGAATTTTTTTCTTTTATCATACAGAACAATTAAATGTGTATTTAGATGTATTTATAGATATCTATATTTATAGATAGTTAAAAGACAGTAATATACTGGGAGATACATAATATTAGGAAGAGAAAGAAAGCTACGGTTTGTCTGGATGGAATTTGCCATGCAGCACCAGAATTACTACTTCACAAGCGCTGCACTTCATTCCCAGGAGGCTAGAGGCAGGCAGTAGGATTGGCTTCGGCAGAGGTGGGCCTCCAAGGGAGTAGGGGTATGGGGGGGGGGGGGTATTGTAGGTGTGGCTTAAGGAAACTTGCCAAACAGCACCAGGTATATTAGTGGGTGCTACATGTGCCTAATTTGTAAGGAAAAAGTTATGGAAAAATAGTGTGCCTTATGTGACAAGCCTTCCATAATTGTGGTGAATATGACTTTGTGCACATTTGCGTGAATATGACTTTGTGCACATTTGCAAATAGCCAAGATTGTTGCAAATAAGATGATTGAGTCTAAAATGACTTAATTTAACTTTCATTTTTGATTGGTATATATTTTAGTGTTAGCTACTCTAGTCTCTCACATACATCATCTGGATCTTTCTCGCTCTGTGCCACTGTTCTGTTATTTTAGGATTATAATTTATTTTTATTAGCATTGTATTTATTTATTTATTTATTTATTTTATTGTTTTATGTTTTTTTTATTATTTTGTTACTGTTATTATTGGTATTATTATTAATGTTTTTTAGCAAATTATTATCATTATTATGTCTCATGCCCCCCCCCCCTCCAATCCACATCCAGAATGGACAGAAAGCGCCACGTGAAGGAGCGTCTTGGCTACAGAAAGCCCAAGATGGAGGGCTCGCCTCGAGAGCTGGTGGACTTGAGCCTGGAGGATGACACCATGACGGACGAGGAGGTTGGACTCTCCATCGCCGAGGGACTTCATGAGAGGAAACCAGAACTCATAGGTATTTAGGCTGTTCGTGATTGCCTTATTTTATTTGTTTCTCTTTTTTCCTGTTCTTTTCTTTTCGTTTTCTAATGTCCATTATAGCTAATTTGCGTAAGGGAGAATCCAATTTTTTTCTGTTTTGAATTTCAAGTTGTAATAAAGAGCAGAAAGTGTACGTGTGTGGTGTGGGTTTGTAATCTGAGTATATAGTTTGTGTTTATGTGTAGTGGGTGTAGTGTATGTGACACTAGTATGAAATTGTTACCCACAAGATTACACTCATGGTAACTGAATTTTTTTGGCCAACTAGTTATGTTTTTTATGTCTAATCAGTCTAGTGTTGTTTTTTGATCTTGAGTATGTATGGTCAATTGGGAAAGGGAGATGAACATGTTTAGATTTTGAGATCTGTTTGATGAAGGAAGGAGGGGGCCCTTTGCCGCCGAGTTTCTCTCCCTCCCTTCTCTGTTACAGAGGGAGCCCTTGAAGAAGGATATTTTATTGAAAGCTGTGTAAAGATTGACAAAGTAAGGTACAAAGTTATCCCAGTGTTGTGGAGATATAATGTAAATGATGTGTTTAAGATGATGTATTTATGCAATGTACACATACCCACAGTGCGAGTGGTGGAGGTCCTAGGACGCGAAAAGGCCCTTGAGCTATACAAAGAGACGCAGAAAGTGGAGCGCGAAGGGGGCCTCATGATCTTGGTAAGTTTCCTGTTTGAAGTTCGTTAGATTTCTCATCAAATGAAGGTCTCACTTTTTCATTATTCTTCAGTGTATTTTCAGTGTTCTTTACCAGATTTTGTTTATTGATTATGCTTGTATCTTTACTAATGTGTATAGATCTCCTCTATATGTATTCCCAGCCTCATTGGTCATTTCTTTTACCTCTCTGTGAAATCCTTTTGAACCTTTTGATGATGTTTTTTAGTCCTGTTGTCATAGTAAATGTTACAGACTGTTGCAAAAGTCCCATTGACTAAGGGTGCTAACTTTTCAAAGAATGGGTAGATTGAAACTGAATAGAACTTGACCTTTATTATGAATGCAGTTCAACAACCCCATATATTGATGATTCTGACAATAGGTTGAAACATATTTATAATACATCAATTTAGATGTCATTGTTAAAAATCTGTTTGAAAATAATTTGTTGATTTATCATTATTTTTAGTTTCATAAATTATTGTACAAACATATATATGTATATATATATATATATATATATATATATATATATATATATATATATATATATCTATATATATATATATAATATATATATATATATATATATATATATATATATATATATATAATATATATATATATATATATATATATATATATATATATATATAATATATATAATATATATATATATATATATATATATATATATATATATATATATATATATATATTATATATATATATATATATATATATATATATATATATATGTATTATATATATATATATATATATATATATATATATATATTATATATATTATATATATAATATATATTACATATTACATATATATATAAATATATATATATATATATATATATATATATATATATATATATATATATGTATATATATTTATTTATTTATTTATTTATTTATATATTTATTTATTTGTATAATAATGATCATGAATATATTTATATCTATCTGTATATATCTATATTTATGTCTATCTATCTGTTTATATCTCTCTCTCTCTCTCTCTCTCTCTCTCTCTCTCTCTCTCTCTCTCTCTCTCTCTCTCTCTCTCTCTCTCTCTCTCTCTCTCTCCTCTCTATATATATATATATATATATATATATATATATATATATATAATATATATATATCTCTATCCCATCTCCTGACTCTCTTCTTCACAGAATGGCTCAAGAAGAAGAACCTCGGGCGGCGTGTACCTGCAGCTACTGAAGAACGTGCCAACAGTGGGCAAGGCGGAACTCACCAAGATCTTCCCACAGGAGGAGTCAACACAGCAGTGGAGAAAGCGCAAGAGAGCGCACCGCAAACGAGAGAGACACGAGTCTAAGCCACAGGGTGAGTAAGCTATTGGTGTTTTTGGGTTGCTTGGTTACTCCTGGTGTTGACTGAGGTCTAGTGTGACTTGAAATTTTAGTGATGAGGGGTTTCAGGGAAAGGATAGAGGAAGGGAAGGAGGGAGAGAGGAGAGTTTGTGTATGTGCATGTGCGTATATGTGTGCGGGAATCATATTCATGTTTCCTCTCTATTTTCTTCTTCTTTTTCTTCTTCATATTTTTCCCTCTCCTCCTCCTTCCCCTCCTTTCTTTATGTCCTTCATTCTTCCTTCCTTCCTTTCCCTTCTCCCTCACAGTGCTCTCAAGTATTTTAATCTCAGCCCGTACTGAAAGCCCCTTCTCCCCACAGGTGAGGATGTGAGCGAAGAGGGGCTGCACCTGGGGGGCCTGTTCTCAGACGACCCAGGGGGTGCCAAGTGCCCCGGCTCGACCCCTGTGACCTCCCCACAGCCTTCAGACAATGAGGAGGACCTGGCTGGATCCACGGTGAGTCTAGGGCTGGGAATCGGCTTGTTTTGGCCTTTTTCATCAGTGTTATTTGTTTTTTGTTTTGTTTTTCTATGAATTTCTTGATAAGCTTTCCAAATTTTTACTCTCAGTAATCAATATGATATAGTATACAAGATTTTAGGAATAGTAACCTACCATGAAAAAATTAATGGTCATCCACCCTCATTAACCTCTTGGCAATTGGCTCTGTGGAGACCTCGGTGGACTGTAAGCCAGGGACAGCGTATTTTTGCTGTGCGCTGTGCCAAGGGCCTTCATTGACTTCTTAGATCACCCTATTACTTATACCTCTTCCTTTATATGATTTTGTGTTGTACAGTGTTTTGTTGTATATAGTAACCCGTTTTGGGGCTTTGTCTTTTTCTTTTGTAGTTATTTTTTAGTCCAGGCTTTTAAGAAGAGATTTTATCTCTTGCATTGTGTTTATTATACTAATGATAGCTTTATAGAATAATATAGCTTTTATATTTATATATAGCTTTTTTTGACAGCTCCACATAATGATGCATAAAGTCCTGTTACACCAGAGTTGACCATAGTACAAGCTCGCTTTGAGTAGCCATTTGTAAGATTGTTCCGTGCTAGTATGGACATGTCAGTCATTGTCATGCACCCTCCTTCCCATTAGCATCTTTTTTTTAGTGTTCTGTCTGTTTTGGATGCACAGCACATGACTTTCCTGCACTCTTTAGTACACCTTGGTCAAAGCCACAGAGGATCAGGATAAGCCTGTTGTTGGACTAAGGCCAAATATTGACTCTTGGATAAATGTTGCCGCGTTGGTGCAATGAGTTAAGAGGTGCCACAGCTGTGTGACTCCCAGTGTTTGACTCATTCACAAGTGTTACGTATGTGTGATGCTGGTTGTCAATGGCTTGATAAAGTGAAAAGGATTAAAGGCAGAAATGCTGAGTATGTATATTTATAGTCATTTATTTATTATCAATGATAAATGGAATTAAATGCAAGAAATGT